ATGGCTCGTTTCTCGACCAGACAAAAGACGCCATCGGCCAGAGTGGCAGCTCAACTTTGAATACAGGACGTAATGTGCGTGGGCGGCAACATGCTGTTCGTCTTCAATCGCCCAGAACTCCAATACCTACCCACTCGGATTCTGTTGTCTCCGACGTTGCACCGTCAGTTTCGTCAGTTTCTTCTGCCGCCGCCTTGAATGTGGCACCTGATCCCGGGGCGGCAACTCAAACTTTGGCTGCAGGCAATAATGCGCGTGCGAGGCCAACTCCTGTTCGTCGTCAACCAACCGGGACTCCATTATCTTCCTCCGCGGCCTCTGTTGTCTCCGACGTTGCGCCGTCAGTTTCTTCTGCCACCGCCTTGAGTGTGGCCCCTGATGTACTTGCTTCGGCTGTTTCTCAGGCCGTCGGCCATGTCCTCCAGCCCCTGATGGAGCGAGTAGAGCAGTTAGAATCTGCTCCAGCCGTCGTGCCGCCTGTCAACTCCAGCTCCATTCATGCATTGGGCCATCCGCTGGCTGCTCGCTGGTCGCTCTCTGTACCTGATAAACTCCGCGGGCGAATTGAACGCGGCGAGTTTATTGATTTCGATGACCTCCTCCCGGACAAGCTGGGTGTGGAGCCCGATGTGGTCCAGCTAGCTGTGGGGGCTAACCGCTCTGTCCAACTTGTACAGAAGCCAACTCAGGCCCAGCGCCGCCATGTCCACGATGTAGCGTCATGGCTCGAGGTGTTTACTGTCTACACGAGAGTAATTGTGGCGGCGGCTCCAGATAGTGCAAATGATTTGCTGGCATATCAGGCCACTATTCTGGATGCAAATAACTTGTATCATGTGGACGCATGGCTAAGTTATGACAGGCGTTTCCAGCGCCATAGCCTCCCAACCACTGTCGTACAACTGGGCTATCATCGACTCTAATTTGTGGCAGTCGTCATTCACCAGCCGTGGTCGCTCGCCATGTTCGCGCTGTTCTCTGGTGCACCCATTGGCCCAGGGCCGGTGTCCCTTAAGACCAGGGCCTCCATCCGACGGCGCTGGGAGTGGAGGTCCGCCGCAGTCCAGCGCGCCAACCCATCTTGGGAAGCCTATCTGCCGCAACTTCAACAGGGACCAGTGCAACAACTCATTCTGCTATCGTGCCCACGTGTGCCTTCAATGCCGCGGGAAGCACCCAGAAGTCAAATGTGGCAGGGGACAGTCCGCCACCTTAGCATCTGCTCCGTAAACATTCTGTGGAGACCCCCATCAATGTTCGCCGATTAGCCGGGCCCCCTAACCGTCATTCTGATCACTCCTTCTCTCACTTTGTGTTGCATGGGTTGTGTCACGGTTTCACGATAGGCCATTCTGCTGCTATATCTGGTTGCGTTCGCAAACGCGAACTCGCCTCACTCCTGGGCCACCTCTCGTTCGCTTCCAGAGCAATTCCAGCCGCCCGTACATTCTTACGCCGCCTGTATGACCTCAACAAGGCCACATCTGAGATGTCATCTCACCGAATGCTGCACTTCTCAGCCTCAGCCAAGGGCGACCTGAGCTGGTGGCACCAGACTCTGTCAACATGGAATGGAAAGTCATTTTTCCTGCTAGAGAAGTGGATGCCCAGCGCTGATCTCCAGTTGCAACCGACGCAAGTGGCACCATTGGATTTGGAGCCTTCTTCAATGGTCGCTGGTTTAGAGGTGACTGGTCTCCGCAGCAACTGGAACTAAGCATTACCTACAAGGAGCTCTTCGCCATTGTCGTGGCCTGCGCCACATGAGGGATCGAGTGGCTGCGTGTGGAGTTTCAGTACGACAACCAAGCTGTCGTGGAGTGCCTGAAGACGGGCACGAGCCGGTCTCCTGCAGTCATGGCACTCATCCGCACCCTGTACTCAATCTGTGTGAAGCACAACTTCCTGATCCGAGCATCACACCTGCCAGGAATTTCCAATACCATCGCTGATGCCCTGTCCCGGAACAAGATGGATGCCTTCTGGACCTTTGCTCCTACAGCTGCGGAGCGGCCTGACACCATGGTCCAGCCGATCACTGAGTAAGTGCAAAGACATTCACTTAGGATGCAGATAGCGTTCTCTGTCGATCCTACTCCACAATATCAGTCTGACTTTATGCCTCTAGAACAACGCTCTTGTGCAATACATACTTTCCATCTACATTGGCTGTTATCACCCAGTATCTCCTCTGGCCCCAATGGGAATGTCGGCATGGGCACTCCTCCGCAACTGGCCTCTCGCCCACTACTATTAAACTCGCATGGGTCATAAACCGCTCCTGCTCAACGCAGGCCGACCCATCAACTCGCATGGGTCACAAACCGCTCCTGCTCAGCGCAGGCCGACCCACTTGGTCATATACAGCTCCTGTCCTCGGTAGGCCGACCACACGATTCGTTAACGAGCACTCAATTGAGGCCAGCTACTCTGCCCGACATTCCCATTCTTCCAAACTCACTCTTGGGTCTTTTGGTGTGTCGCGTCCTGCACGCGTGTGTGTCTACTCTATACTCTAGCATGGGGAGTAGAATGTTAAGTGTTCGGATAACGTAGGAGTTAACCGTTGTTAACAGTCACGTACCATTGCTTCACTGTTGGCCTTTATAACGGGTTGCATAACCCTCCTTACGTGTGTGCACAATCTTGCTCTCTCTACATACTGCTGTGTATCATAGACCACATGCCCACGCTCTGCGCATGCGCAGATTTCCTGTGAGCACAACAGAGCTTGCTGTCTTTCCAGTTTCCTTGCCTGCAGTCAGCTTTCAAATTCTGACCCACCCTCCTCATCCCATTTCTTACTCTTAAACTCCACTCCACATATTTTTGAAACACACGGATGCGGGCATTCCACCGTAACTGGCCTCTCGCGCACTACTATTAAACTCGCATGGGTCATAAACCGCTCCTGCTCAACGCAGGCCGACCCACCAACTCGCATGGGTCACAAACCGCTCCTGCTCAGCGCAGGCCGACCCACTTGGTCATATACAGCTCCTGCCCTCTGGAGCCGACCACACAATTCGTTAATGCGCACTCAATTGAGGCCAGCTACTCTGCCCGACATTCCCATTCTTCCAAACTCACTCTTGTGTCTTTTTTAGTGTCGCGTCCTGCACGCGTGTGTGTCTACTCTATACTCTAGCATGGGGAGTAGAATGTTAACTGTCATAAAACGCCGATTCCTGCCGTTACTGCGGCCAGGTATCTTGGAGTGCTCCTCTACTCGGATCTGTCATGGACGCACCATGTTGATCGCTGCACCGCTCGACTGGTCCAGAGGAACGGAGCACTATGGAGGTTGCGTCGCTGCTTGACTCATCAGAGCCGAGTTCTCTACTTTAAAGCGATCATCATGTCTGACCTGATGTACGAATCCAATGCGTTTTCTCCACTTCTTACTGCCAACCAACTTGATCGGCAACCAGTCATGAAGAATCGGGCGGCAAGGGCGATTTTCGGACTCTCGCATCACACCTCCTCGCGTACCCTCCTGCTGAAATTGGACACCTACAGAGTATCCGAGATATTCAGGCAGAAGTTCATCGTTCTGGTCTGGAGGTCTCGGAATGGGCACGCAAGTTCTGATCTGCAATCCCTCCTAGTTCCTTCGTCAGCTTGCCCAACTAGGTTGCACTCCACCATGGGTCTGCGCCAACCGCCAGTTTGCACCAGGTTGGGCAAGGGTCATCTCCGCGTTCCGCCAGTTCCGCGCCAGCATGATCCCGCACACCCTTAGTACCTAGAGTACCAAGCATCCTTTTTGATGATCAGCTGGCTTAGTTTTTCTCCACCTCAATCCTTATTACATCCCTCCTCAATTTCATTTGTTACTGCTTTCTATCTGCAATCGCCACCTATTCATTGGGCAGATCTGCCCGTTTGGTTTGCGAATTAAAACAACACAACAACAAAAAGCATACCCTCTATCCCAGGTCTGCAGAGATCTTTAGAGAAAGATCAAAAGGCAAATGGGTGTAATATTGTTCGTCAGGCAAGACTTACAGTTCACTTAATCGAGGTGTGTCCTGAGGCACTCCACTGGGAAGATAGCGGAGACGATTATAATCCAAATCCCTGGACAAGGAGAGAGTATGAAAGAATCTTTGAATTTGTGTCTAAATGTCAATTGACTGGGAAAATTAGGATTTTTATCTTTAGGAATTTTTAAGAGACATTAGAAGTATTACAGGTTGCGACAGAGCTCTCTGCCATTGAAGAGAATGTTGAGCACCACCTCCACAGCTGCACTGCGGTCTACGCCGATTATAGTTGAAGACCCTCCTTCGGTCAGAGTCGTGCAGTGTTATCGCATGAGCTGATTGTTTAGGAAATGGTAGTGTCAGAGCCCAGTCCCACATGCACTTGGCGGATCCGCTGCAGCAGTGTCGCAATAGCGTGTATCACCATGGAAACTGCGAGTACGGGAACTTCCGCTGTGACGGAAAGTTTAAATCCGCTACTCCAATATTTTTGGAGCGTATACTCTCCTACGAAAGTTCCGCTCCTGCAACACTCCGACACAGTGAGCGATTTGTGTTGTTCGATTTTATTTTCGATCATGAAGTGGACACTTGACTTGAGTCAGAGCAACTACTGCTGCAATTGTACATGTATCTTGAAGTCAAGACTCGTTCTAAAAAAGAATGAAGAGAGATACGGAACGGTATAGGTGGAAAGCCGAGAAGCTGAAGCTGAAACCGACGACTGCAGTGTCGGCAGAAGACCAAATGCTTTATTGGCGATGGTGCCATCGTGAGAATAAAGAATTCAACAACAACACTGTTTCGGTAGAGGGTGAGTGAAGAACCACATTTCCGCCTCCGTTCGTTGCTATCACCCCGTGAGCGACGTCAGATGCGGGTCACAAATGGTGGGGGAGGGTACATCAGATCAATCAACGAGATGCCACATCCCGTATCCCATTTTCCACATCCCAAACGAACAGAACAAACCCAAAAAACGCCTTTTTGCGATACATGCACACCATGACTTACAGGTATGCTAATTCGGGCGTGGCTTTCAACAGCCCGTCAGGTAGGTGAACAATGGCATTACCGTACAAATCCCTGGGAGAACAAAGTGGAAGTTGGATAGGATATAATTATATCACTTCCTTGAAGAATTTCTTAACTTTATAGCCTGCTAGTTTGTACATGAAGTGTACGAGTTACAATGAGACTGCGCACACCACCCCCCCCCCCCCCCCCCCCACACACCCCCCCCCCCCCCCCCCACACACCCCCCCCCCCCCCCCACCACCACCACCACACACACACCTGCGTAGAATCACACAAAGTATGAGTTACGAAGTCTGAAGAAAGTGTTGAACGGTCTCTGGGATGACGACTACACCAGAGCTCAGTGATTACACAGAGGCAGTGTGCCTTCACCTGCAATAGTTCTCAAATACCTCAATTTGTTCTTCAGACTGTCCGCGTTTGTGTCTTTACCTCCAATTAGGGAGTTCTTTATAGCAGAAAAACTATAAGTTTTAAATAGTTTACTCGGATAGTGAGCCAATTTATTAATTATGGTAAAAAAGGAGAAGGACAACATAATTATTACAAGTTATGACTAACAGTCAGAAATTTCAACAACTAGACACAAAACTGACAGAGTTGTGAGACATCCGACGTCCTGACACCTAGCTTCGACACATCTCTGTAGTGCTAAACGACAGCCTTCCAGCTCGGAAGGTTCAAGGTTATGGAGAGACCAAAGAGGGTAGGAAAGCACAACGAAAATGAGCACAAGCTACAGTCCCAACGGAACAAAGAATGTCGATTGTTACTGGTCGATGACGAGACCAGTAGGATACTTGTCAAAGCGGTCTAACTACAATTCGAAGCAGCAAAGCAGCACACCACCCAACTTGGGTGGCTCTAGTTATAGTATCTAGTTACAGTGGTGGAGAGTTACTCTTAACTCGTTTCCATATGTCCTTTTTCTTTTCTACATTTATTATTGGCTCAATAGCCGAGTTTCGAATTGCACACCTGATGAGCCACGAACCATACGACGAAACGTACGTCGTGTGAAACAACTTGTTTTGTAGTCAACTAGTTCATCACAATGTCATGCATGAGGAGTACTGTAGGAGTTTGGCATTCGGCTTGTACAATTCGTTTTCGCAAAGCTTCCCCCTTCTGTGCTTATCTTTGATATTTCTGAGCCACCCAAGTTGGGTGGTGTGCTGCTTTGCTGCTTTGAATTGTAGTTAGACCGCATTGTCAAGTATCCTACTGGTCTCGTCGTCGTCCAGTGACAATCGACATTATTTGTTCCGTTGGGAGTGTAGCTTGTGCTCATTTTCGTTGCTCTTACCTTTCCCTCTTTGGTCTCGCCATAACCTTCACCCTTCAGCTCAGCTTTTTGCTTAAAGAAAGAATCCAGCAACGAAATTCCAACTGGAAAAGTCTCCCACGAGCGGCGTCAGATTCGGGTCGTAAAGGATGGAGGAGGGTGCATCAGATCAATCAACGAGATACCAAATCCCGAAATCCCATTTGCCACATCTCAATAGAACAGAACTACGCAAAAAAAGTTTTTTTTCCAATACATGCACACCATAACTTACAGGTAAGTTAATCTGGTTGTGGCGTCGAAAATCCCGGCAGGTAGGAGAACAAGTCGATTATTATTCAATTCTCTGGGAGAACAAAGTAGAACTTGGATAAGTTGTACATCACTTCCTGGAAGAATTTCTTTAGTGTGCTACTGTCGTGGAAATCCGGTCAGTGGTCGAGCTACCCATGGGTGCTGGCCATGCATCCGTGAGTACGCATACCATGCACATTGCGACCACATTGCTGTAGAGGTCCGCCATGGCACGGATTGCGGCTTCTGCACCTGCCTCGTGGCCAGCACACACTTGGAGAGCACCAGCACTTTCCCGGATGTTTTGCTTGATGACGGCAAGAATGGCCTTGGCGATAAAACATCTAAGAACTTCACCGATGCCAATGGGCCTCACCCCAAGGTTCTTATCCAAGGGTATTAATCGGCCAGGTACAAGAGCTGAAATGCCATCTGGATCTACATACTCCGTGGCAAGACGGCGGGTGGTTGCGACAACGGCTGCACAGAAGAGGCACCGCCGAACGAGCAGCACATTCGTTGCCAGGCAGTCGAATCGAGGCCGGACACACCAGCAGCACCAGTCAGACAGAGTGCTGTGGTCTTGATGAAGTTGGCATCGATGTTGGCAAACTGCACTGCTTGAAGCTGCGCAATTGGGCCCTGCAATAGCACATCTGCATCAGGGATGGGGCAGGCAGGTGGGTGCTTTTCCTTGAGCGCATCCAAGGTGGTAAGGCCATCACCGCAGTCAGCATTTAGGGGCAAAATACCACCTTTCCCTTGGTTGGACGTAGCCAAGTAGCATGAACCTGGTGAAGCCTTTGCGTGCTGAATCATCACCCGCATTCTAAGTAGTAGTAGTGGGTGACACCGGCAGTGACCCAGAGGCGCAGAGTGACGAAGACATGCCGCACGATGGACAGCACAGCACGAGCGTGGAACTTGAGGAGAACGGCGAGGAGTTCCAGTCTCTGGACGTCATTTCTGACGATAGTTGGCAGCTAGTGTCATCAGAGCCACCCAGACCCAAGACATCTGTCCTGTATGTCGGTAACCTGAGAGAGTCATGCACTGACGACGACATCAAAGCTTTCTGATAATCCGATCTCTGCAGGAGTGCCACAAGGCAGCATCTTTGGACCATCCCTGTTCCTAGTATAGGTAAATGATGCTGATAGCTGCCTGGCTCCAGGGTCTGAAATGGGAACATTTGTAGACGACACCACGCTGTATGCCTGCGTCAATACACGCAATGATGCCATACACCAAGCTGACAGTCTTCAAGCTTTCGTTAATGAGTTACATGCATGGGGAACAAAGTGGCATGTTAAGTTTGAACAATCCAAGTCACAGCTCCTACGAATCTCCTGCCATCGACAGCAGCCTTGGCCTGTCCCCGCAATAAACTTTGGAAGGGAGGTCATCCCACAACACCCACACCTCAAGCTCCTCGGAGTTATGGTTGACTCCAAGCTATCCGTTTCCGCCCATCTCCGGTCAGTTGCTGCCAGGGCAAACTCACGTCTTGGCCTCCTACGTAGAGCTGCTCGTGTTCTGGACTGCCATGGCATGCTGGCCGTGTATCACGGCTTCGTCCGCCCCCTGCTCGAGTACACTCCCCTTGTCTGGATGGGAGCTGCTCCCACTGACCTTGAACACCTTAACAGAGTGCAGAGGCGTGCCCTCCACATCCTGGGACCCAACATCTTGCTACAGAGGCTAGAGGCCCGACGAACAGTGGTGGCACTGACTTTCGTCTACAAGCTACTGGGCCAACCAAGTCCTCCTCTTCTGAGATCCATGGTCCCCCCCCTCTCGTCGTCCACCATGCCGCACCTGTAACCCAGAGACAATGCCAACAGTCTGCTTCACATCCCTTCCAACTGGAAAATGTTCTCCCTCCAGGCGCTCCTAACTACCTAAGACGCGCCTTTCCATACAACATCATCAACACCTGGAACGCACTGCCATCCTCCCTCTTCACCAAACCACCATCTCATAAGGGCCTGCAATCCTTCAAAGCGAACATCCACTACCATCTTCGCCGACGCCAGTGGCTTTGGGCCACAGACTCCCTCTAACAGTTCAGAACTATTTCCATCGTGAAGCTCCCCCCCCCCAAGCATTGCATGGTGTTCACTGCATCTGAACTGCCTTTGAATCTATTTTTCTCTCTTCTTGTTCTCTCTTCTCCCCCACCCCCCCCCCCCCCCTCTCTCTCTCTCTCTCTTTCACTCTCACTCACTCACTCACTCACTCTCTCTCTCTCTCTCTCTCTCTCTCTCTCTCTCTCTCTCTCTCTCTCTCTCTCTCTCTTTCTCTCTCTCTCTCTTTCATTTTCTCGCTCTTCTTCATTTTCTCGCTCTTTTTCATTTTCTCTCTCTCTCTCTTTCATTTTCTCTCTCTCTTTTCATTTTCTCTTTCTCTCTCCTCATCCATTCTACCTCACCTTCTCTTGTCTTTATTTCACTAAATCACCCCCTTCTTTTAGACTATGGTGCGCAAGCTCACGTTAACGCCGAGATCATAGGTCGGTGTTGTGGGCTTGCCTCACCAGCACAGGCTTGCTTTGCAGCCCCCTACTCTCCCTGCTGTTTTGTCATTGTATACTCTGTTGTCTTCTCCCCTTCTGACGAGTAGGTTGTGTACTTACCGTCAGAGATTTCGCTCCACTGCTGTGTCCCCCTCCTGCGGCAACTACAGGGAGGTATGTCACCGTCTGTTCGATTCGTTCAACAAGTGGATGTCGCACTCCGTATCCAGTGGCTCTCAGCCCGCCCTGCAGACGGTCACGGATGAGATGGTCAGGAAGCAATTGGTCGCTGTTCTGCCCCCAGACACCCAGCGAGACGTCAGGGAGCAGCCTAAGCTGGACGCTCAGCAGACAGCAAAGCTGGCCGACTCTTTCGTCCGAGCGCGTGCGGGTACCCAGGCGGGAGAAAAAGAGTTTCTGGCTCTGTCACAGGTGTCGGCTGGCCAACCCGTGGCGGGCCGACGGTCAGGGGATCAACCACATCAGTTTGCCAGTCGCGGCGCAGGCATCAAGGAGTGTGGATTTTGTGGTGGCACACCTCACCCGCGGACCACCTGCCCTGCCAAGGACAAAGAGTGCCGTCAATGCGGAAAGCGTGGCCACTACGAGCGAGTGTTCCGGTCTCGCCGTAACCAGCAGTCCGTGTCTGCAACCGAGGTGTCCGACACTTACACAGATGACAGAGCGCTTCTCAACACAGAAGCTCTGTTCGTGGGCGACGTCAAGTCCAGCCAACGGTCGTGGAGAGTCGGAGTGCTGCTACAGGGCACCTGCGTCAACTTCAAAATTGATACGGGTGCAGATATCTCCGTTATCTCAGACGCCCTGTACCACCAGCTCCAGAATCCCCCAGTGCTCAAGCCGTGCACCAAACGGCTGATCAGCGCCGCCAACACACCGCTCCACACCGTTGGCCTGTTTACAGCGTCTGTGACATACCCGGCATCCGGTGCCAGTGCCGTTATCACTGTGTGCGTCGTACAAGGGCTGCGTCACGCATTGCTTAGCTGCAGCGACTCACTTTCTCTGGGTCTTATCAAGCCCCTCTTCTCTAATGATGGCGTTCCTCCAGACATAAAGTCATCTTCCGATGTGCCAAACGATGGGCCAAACTCCATGCAGAACGCGGCAGTTATCCCTCCCGGCTCTGAACCTGTTCCAGTAGCACCCTCTGCAGCTGACCGGATTCCAGAAGCCGTGCTCGCCGACTTTCCGTCCCTGTTTTCCGGCTTAGGCAGCCTCAAGAAGACCTACTCGATTCCTCTCACCGACGGTGTCAAACCGTTCTGCCTGCACACAGCCCGCAACGTGGCGCTGCCAATCCGCCCACAGGTAGAAGCTGAGCTGCAGCGCATTGAGAGCTTGGGCGTCATCCGGCGTGTCCTCGAGCCAACAGACTAGTGCGCCGCAATGGTCGCCGTACCGAAGGCTACAGGTGCGTTCCGCATATGCAGAGACCTGAAACCGCTCAACGATGCCGTACGTCGTTCGCATCACCAGCTCCCTACAGTCGACGAGACACTCGGTCAGATCGGCGACTCCACAGTCTTCACCAAGTTAGACGCTAACAGTGGATTCTGGCAAATATCACTCAACGAGGCGTCCCAGCTTCTGACCACCTTCATCACACCTCAGGGTCGATTTTGTTTCACTAAGCTTCCATTCGGCATATCGTCAGCACTGGAAATCTTTCAGCAGCGGATGTCCGCCATCCTACAGGGTTTGGAGGGTGTCATTTGTCAAATGGACGACATCCTGGTACACGGTCGCACTCAGGAGGAACACGATCACCGCTTACGCGCTCACGCGCTCACGCGCCTCGTCCTAGCGGGTCTCACGCTGAACCCCGCTTAATGCCAATTCTCAGCCTCAGATCTCACGTTTCTCGGGGTGCACCTCACGGCATCAGACCTGATGACGGCAAGACCGAAGCTATCCGGGTCTTCAGAACTCCGCAGTCGGCCTCAGACGTGCGTCGTTTCCTGGGTCTCGCTAATCAGCTGGGGAAATTCTCACCGCATCTCGCCTCTATCAGCCAACCGCTCAGAGAGCTCCTGTCAAAAGGCAAAGCTTGGACCTGGGACCATGCCCAACAGACGGCTTTTGAGGCCACCAAGGAGGAGCTTTGCAAGCCCACCTGTCTGCAGCTGTACGACCCCAACTACAGTACCAAGCTACCCGCAGACGCATCGTCATATGGCCTCGGCGCTGTGTTCTACCAGCGGTCCTCGCCCGAGACATCGTGGCGGCCCGTAGCCTGTGCCTCCCGCTCTCTCACTCCAGCGGAGCGCAACTACGCTCAAATCGAAAAGTAAGCTCTGGCAATCACCTGGGCCACGAGTCGCTTCGAGATGTGCCTGCTCGGTATGCACACCTTCTTGATAGAGACCGATCACAAACCCCTGGTACCTCTGCTGAGCACCAAGTGACTGCACGAGTTGCCTGCCCGAGTGCTCCGTTTTCGCCTTTAGTTTGGCTCGCTACAGCTACACCATCACCCATGTGCCTGGCTCTCATCTGCCCAGTGCCGATGCGTT